TAGTGGATGACTGGGTGAGCCCCTGATTCAGTGTAGGCTGGTCCTCATTATGCTCTTGATGTTCTCCACATAAAGATTCATATATCATGATAGATTTTTTTTTTTTTTACCATGCTGGGAATCAAATCCAGGGCCTTGCACATGTGAGGCAAGTGCTCTGCCACTGGGTTATATCCCCAGTTCAGAAGTTTTATTTAAGATTACTCTATGAAGCAGTTTATTGACCATTTGGAATAGGCAAAATTTGACAAAGCCTGCTCTTACCAAGTCTGCAAAAATCATATTAAATTGCCATATGCTATGTAAAGATTCAGCTAGGAAATGTTAAGATGTTATTTGGTTGACTTGTGTCATTTCTCTCTGAGCACTTTTAGGAGCCTACGAAGGGGTTATCGAGAACACTTACCACTGCTCCCTTAGATTAAATTTCTGGCTAACGTAACTTTTCTCAAGATCAACAAGTCCCTGCCCTCAGCCATGACTGTAGATAATGACTGTCAGACCTCTGTCAGCCTATAAACCTGTGTCTATCTCACCACTGGTTTAGAGGGTCGTCCGCTTTGCTCTGATTCTACCTTGTGAAAGCAGAAAAGGACTGAAAGGTTCTAGTGTTAATTCAGTGTTCATGGACCAACTACTTTAATGCCTGATGCAGACATATATGCAACATACAGTTTTCCTTTATGCATTTGTGGCATCAAATATTGGAGAGGAGACTATTTAAAAAATAATGTTAAAATTTCAGCCTATGTATCACTCTAGTTTTGCCCAATGAGATTATGTATGTGTTACATATTAACATTTATACATACGTGTATAACATTCAGGCTAATCTAATAATATTAATATATATCTCCTCAGTCTAAGTATACTCCATATTTTATTAACATTTAAAAAATCAGATTGTAGTATACTGTGTCTTTTTTTTAAAAATCAGTTTTATGTATTTATACTTCTTTAAAAAAAGTGAAGTGCTCTCAGGAAATTGGGGAAGGAGGATTGGGAGTTCAAAGCCAGCTTGGACAATTTAGTGAGACTCAGTCTGAAAAAAAATAAAAAGAAAAAAAATGACCCAAACCAGTACAATATAGATGAAAATTTGTATTTATTTAATTATAGCAATACTAAGTTCATCTAGTCAAGAAATGTAATTTTTACAAAATTATGGACTGGGAAATAATTATATATTTCTTAAAATTTGAGGTTATAATGAAAACGAATCAACAGTTAACCTATTCTAACAAATCCTATTTATGAGGCCTTTCCCTGGAGAATGGTAGACACGTAAAGTCAGTGTACACTTAAAGAATGTGCTAATAATTACATAAGCATCTTAATACTGTATGTTTACAGTAAACTTGAATTACTTTATAGATTATTTAATATAGCTAATTTTTCTTGCTATTACTATAGGAGGCCTTTGATTGATCAATGACAGAATTTTGTTTATATTACCACTTAATTGTGCACATCACCTCACAATTAGTTGTGGAAATAAAGATATGGTTCCTAATGCTTAATTATAAAAAAACTGAAAAGGTAAGGATGATTGCAAATAATGCAAGATGTAGCTGATATAGTTGTCTTCACCATCTCCCAAATTCATTGTGGTTTTGTTTTGCTTTTGCTGGGGATGGGCAATCAAGATACTCCTCTCTTCTGACTTAAGTAATCAGTCCTAGCATATTGTAAGCTCTGTTGAGCAGAAAATAAAGAAGACATTTGATTTTCTTAATGTAGAAACAAGGTTGCTATATAGCAGCAGCCAATCCCTGGCCAGCGGTCCTCTCCCCTTCTCTGTCCTAACTGTGACAATGGCAACCTCAGGTGCCTGTTCTCTGCCATATCATCTGTGCTTGTTACCTCTGACTTTTCCAACCTCCTGTTGCTTTCTTGCCTGAAGTGATCTGGGAATCATTATTATCCCAAGGGAAAGAGCTGTTGCTTTTTCTTTTTGTTTATGCCATAGGGTTTTCTACACTGAAGATTTTCAGTAAATATTTGCAATTTTAAATTGAATTTTTAAAACAGAAAGAACAAAGACAGCAAATAAATAAACTTGTTGATTTACCAAGGAACTCTCTCTCAATATTTAACTTTTCACATGTGTGTATGTGACTATTTTATCCTGGTCTCTCAGGCACAGGATGGCACAAACACCTGTGGCATAAGCCTTGCTGTGCCTACTCAGCAGCCTCATCAGTTTTCTTTGTTTATCTTGTGTCTTCATCCCACTGATCAGGCTGGAGGTGTGGCATCTGGACTAAATCATGTTCTCACCAATGACTTGACAGCTGAGAGGCTCCTCCACGTGAAGGGTCGAAGAGTGGTCAGGGCCACAGAAGTTCCCCTCAACTGGGACAGTTTCAACAAGGGTGACTGCTTCATCATAGACCTTGGCACTGTAAGTTTCATAGACACAAACAGACATGTACATGAAATTAAATTATTTTTAGATCAAATCAGATGTATGTGTCATTGAAGATAATTACTTTCTTCACACTTGGAAAGAGGTCATTGGTGAGTATTTAAATGACTCATACAGTGGGACTTCACAGTTTTTCTGTTCCTTAGTAAGTTTAGAATAGAGCAGTGGTTTAGTTCTTCCTAGCACAGAATAAAAATGAGATAATTTTCAACATACCTCCCCTTCACTCTGAGCAGAGCTTTCACTAATTACTTTTGTCTTTCTTTAATTATATGTGGGAAAATGGAGCTTGGAGAAAAATTCCTTCAGCAATCGGAGGTTCTAGAATTTAAGCTGGGCATATGATGAGTCTAAACAGCTTGCTGAAGAAATTTGGGGGAATTTTTTTAAACATATATACATACACAAACATATATGTCATACTGTTGTTTCACAGTTTTCAATTATCTTGGGGTTGTTAGAAGAAAGGACACAATTCCAGTATTAAATTTCATGTTAATGGCTTGGGCAGTGGTATGTTATATCTGATCTATGTTTTCTCCCAGAAAAATGGGCTTATTTAATGTCAGGTCTACTTCTTAATAATTGTCATCTTGACAAATATTAATTGCAAGGCCTTGTGTTAGACCCTAGCAGATAAGATTTGAATTGTGTCTTAAAACTATGTACTATGACAAATAAGAAAGAAAGAAAGAAAGAAAAGAAAAGAAGGCAGGGAAACCCAGGGCTTGTTTATGATATCGTCTTCCCTCCTTTTCATAATCGTCATTCTTATCATTCCATATTCATCGGCATTCTACTAGTCATGTCCTACATTTTGGAGCCAAGAATTATGCACACTTGATCTAGCCTGTGTGAGATTTGGCCTGTCTTGATCTTGCCCACCATTGCATAACCAGTGATTGTGAAGCCTTAATTGGAATCCAGGCATATCTGATTCTCCTCTAAGCATTTTGTTTTGTTATATCTCCTTGGGCAATATTTTGGGATAAAGCAGTAGTCAGAAGCCAAAAGGGTTTATTTTATATGCATAGAGAAGAGACACTTAGGATTCTGAAATGGAGCTACATGAGCAATTCTATTTAGCCAATTTTAATTTGGCAATAGCACAGACATTAAATGTATTGAAGTTGTAATTGATTTGTAAAATAACCCAAGCTTCAAGCTTTATCAGTTCCCCTAAGTTAGTTTGCATCTATAGTTTTATTAATGATAGTTATAATATGACAATTTTGGATCACACTAGCTGAAATGCACAGTTGAGATCACAATAATAATTAGCACTCCAAGTACAATTCTCAGTGATAACCTTAGACATCAATATCCAGAATGGCAGTACTTGTGTTCTGAATTTCACAGTAAATGTCATGAGAAAGTCCCTTTCAACTTCACAAACTCATCCTCTCTCCCAACCAGATTTGAGTCCTGAATTTTAGATCTGGGAAAAAAACAGCTACTCTTCTACCCTTTCATTATCCCACATCAAAAATGGATACTTTATGCAAATAAATACCCACAGCTATCATCAAGCTACCCAGTTCCAAAAACCAACTGCAGCAGTCTCTCAAAGCCTAGGTACAATATTGTTCATCTCAACTTTTATTTTCACCGCTTACATTTCAAAGTCCTTCATAAAGTGTTTTCTCATATAAAATGACAGCTTTTTTCAAAGACAAAAAGGAAACCGCTCATCTGTAAAGGTAGATATTTGATTGGGAGATCTGAAGGGATCCTAAGCAAATGGAACACTTTCCAATGGTAATATAATTCATCATTGATTTGCTTGAAAGCATTTCTCTTCGAAGAACTTTTTTAATGTATGATGTAAGTGCTATACAAATGCAATAATCTATTTAACTATCATGGATAGCTTCCAATTCTGCTTTCCAAATATGCATTCTTTGACCTTGGGCAAATCATTAACCTTTGGAGCCTTAGTTTCCTCATTCTTTTACATCCTGACCCTAGCTTCTGCTGTCACCTCTAGCCTTAGTTGACTGTGATTCATTCTGATCTGATTCACAATCACATCTGGGATGTGGCAGTTGTCATTGCAGTGTCAAAAGGGAACAAAGTCTCTGCAGGTAGGTTATGCATATTGCTCACATTGATAACCACTTGACCCTGGGAAGGACTAGGGTTGTTCTAGTCCTAGATCACAGTCTTTTCACTGAACAAGCTAATTTGGTATTTATGAGATAGAATGGGCTCACAGAATGTCATGCAACTGTTTCCGAATCTGATGATGTCTCAGATGGCTGAAATTCTCCTGAAAGTAGTAGTTTTCTTTAAGTCATTTATTCTTTGATGGAACCAATATTGATTTTCCACAATAGGGCAGGTAGTTGGTTGTTCTGGTAGGTAGGTTATGGTTCTAGTAACAAATTCTCTCTTCCCATAAGTAATGTCAGCTTGTGGGAGTATGGCCTACAAATCCATGCTCATGTAAAGAGACAAAGTATCTAGGGCATTCAAGGGCCCTAGTATTCAAGGGCATTCATCCATTTAATAGTAAATTATCTTTATTTGAAAGAGTTAATTATCTTTAATAAATCAAGCTTTCTCCTGCTCATAGGTCTCACAGAGATCTTTGGAAAGTGTTTGTTGCAGAGACAATTGTGTTAGGTGTCTCTCACAGTGTATAAGTCCCTACCCTCTACTGTGGGATACCCTGGTAGGAATTAAGCCCTGGATTCCTACATACACTCGAACAAATACCCACAAGATCTGTGTTTGAGCTACTAACCTTTAACCAGTTGATATGTTGCCAAAAGTTTCTAAACTTTATTTTTGGGGCACGGCACAATAAACAAAGAAGGACATGGAACAAGAATTTTCTGAACCATAATATTCTTATAGCACATATTGAGCTAATTATTTAAAGATCACCTTTTGCATTACAGGGACACAAAAATGAAGCCAATGCAATTAGTTTATTACCCAGGTATGAAAAATGCGTCACCCCAGGAAAGGCAGCTGGCCAAAATGATGGCTATGAATATAACCTAAATCCCATATTTCTATAATGTTTAAGGAATGTCAGATTTTATGATAAGCAGTCATTATTAGCAATATGATATTCTATGCGCCTTAGAAACATTTGTTCTTTTATAGGGTTTTCGATTACAATACATATTCTCTAGGTTTAACAAGGTAATCTCTTCATCCTGAGGCATGAGATTATAAACTTATCAGTTTAATCAGTGTGAAAGTTCAGAAAACCATGAATATTTTAAGGAATGTTTTATATTTGTTATTTCAGTATGTCATTAGGAAATAATTTGTATGGGCCATTGCTAGATCTTAGCCATTTGTAATTTACTGAGTCTTTAGAAAAGTAATTATAATGTTAGTGAATTTATGAGTCATTATTTTCCCACTACTTTTTAAAGACATGAAGCATGTGTAAAAATTAACTAATAAATTAACAAATACAATCACATCAAAAAACGATGTAACAGAGCCCCAGTAACTACAGAATGTGAATGACAGTGATAAAAGCCTGTGTTCTCAAGGTTGAGGATCTGAGACTAACTTTTAGGAACACATGTCAGTCATGAGTGAAGAACTGACTTCACAGGGAATTCCTGTGGTGTGTTACTAATCCTGACACTGCATGGTCTGTTTCCTTGTTAACTCGTTGGGTTAGTTGTGCAGCTTTGCCCTCCTCTCGTGACTATGCATAGTTTGTCATTCCCTTCCCCATTGTTCAGTCACAGTGCTTTGAAAAAGCAGCTGCCACTTCCTCATTTGCAAGTTACCAACCCACAGTTCCTGACTTTCACACCCACCATGCCTGGGAAACTGCTTTTGTTGCTGCCACCAGTGACCTGTGCTGTGTCCTGTGGACACCTTCCTCACTGTCCCCCCCATCCTTGTGATTGTTTTCAGCGTTGCTCCTCCACTGGCTTTCTCCTCTTCTTCCCTGTTATATCACTTTTTCTCATTCCTTTTTTATGTGGTCTGTTGTTTTTATTTATTTTTATTTGTATTATTTTGGTGGAACTGAGGTTTGAACTCAAGGCTTTGCACTTGGAAAGCAGGCGCTCTACCACTTGAACCACACCTCCACTTCATTTTTCTCTGGTTATTTTTAGAGGTGGGTCCTTGTGAACTATTTGCCTGAGCTGGCCTTGAACCACCAGCTCCTTCTGATCTCAGCCTCCCATTAGCACCCTTTTTTTTTTTTTTTTTTAAGTATCCCACTTTAAATCTTTTTCTCTTCTTTACACATTTCTTCTGAACAAACTCATCCCCACTGTTTTAATTTCTATCCACTGGCAAATCTTATTTTCATATTTCAGCATTTCAGATTTCCTCCTAGGTATTTTTATCTATCTGTGTCTTGGGACTCTTAGACAATGGATCTCATCACGCTTTCATTTCAGAACCATTTCTCCTCTTACTGTCTTTATCTTGTTAATAGAACCACCATTCACTTGAGCCCTCAAACTCCAAATTCAGGAGTCATCTGAACAACTTGTTTTTCTTTCGTTGAATCACTACCCAAGTCTACCTCTGCCATATCTCCAGTCCTTCCCATCTCCTTCATCACCATTGATACCATCTTAGTTTCCCACGGATGATACATTCCTCCCAGTTGTCATGCCCTTGGCTTCCTCTGCCCAGAATACTCTCCTCTTCTGGGACACCTTTTTCCAGCCACCATCCAATATCATCTTGTACTAAAATATTTAGCTCAGCTATTGCCTTGTTTTTGTTCCCTGACCTCTTTCTCCTACTTTTCCTGTCCTATGTCCCACCTCTGTAGTGTCAGATCTACGTTAACGTCCTTGTCACCTTACAGATACTTACCTCTCAGCATTTGTCACATTTCTTGTCCATTCACTTATTAGCCTCACTCACTCACCTTGGTCCTAGTATAGGCGCAGAATTTACAGTCACTCAAATTTGTTGTTTCAGCAAATGTGTGTCTATCAAGCAAAAGAGCACACAGTGTCATGCAGTCCTATGTC